TTCTTTGTTACAATATCTTCTTGGTCTTTTAGATACTTTCTTCCTTCACTTTACCATACTCCCAGATATTTTACCTTTCTACGTGTTCTATCACTGTGTCCTGTATCTCCAGGGGTTCCCCTTTCTCGTCGTTGAAAACTATTATGCCCGACTTGTCCTACTGAATTTTAGTCCTAAACTGTCCCCTTCCCGGCTGCAAATCTCATTCAGTTACTATATTGTCTCACGACCTTCTGATGCGAGTGCAATGTCGTCTGCGTACATTAACCTTGGCAATATTTGATTTGCTTTATGTCCTTCCTCCATGTAAGTAAGGTCAAAACCTAGGTTGCACTGCTCTAGGGGCGACAATGGGCAACCCTCTCTAAGTCCTCTTTTTTATTGCTGTTGGTCTTGTAGTTTCGGCTTCTTATGTTATAACTACACTATTCTCCGTATAAACCCGTTCTAGAAACTTAACCATAGTTCCCCCTAGCCCATATCTCTTCAGTTGGTCTCAGAGTTTTTCCTGGTTCACAATGTCATATGTCCCTTTGATGTCCAAAAATGCTACCCAAAATACCCTTTGACTTGTCATTGCTATCTCTATGCACTGAGTGATTACGAAAAAGTTATCACCTAGTCGTCTAGCCCTCCTAAAACCGTTTTGAAGCGCCCCAGAATCTGCTTTGTCTCTGCCCATTCGTCCATTCTTCTTTTTACCATTTACATAGCTAGTCTGTATATTACTGAAGTTACAGTTATTGGCCGGTATGATTTGATGCTGTCTTTGTCTCCCTTGCATTTACATAATAATCTCATCCTACTCAATTTCATGTCACTGGGTACCTCCCCTCCCATAAGTATCTGGTCAATCACCTGTTTTAGTTTCAATTTGCTTGATTTGCCTGGAACGTTTATCAGTCTAGTCGATACGCTGTCTGAAGCTGTCGAAGTTCCAGCCGGATCCTTTCCTTCTGCTTTATCACCATTCCCCTGTGGTCATTTACTCTTCTTCAGTATGATCCTCCTTTTGTGTTGTGTAGACGATACGATTCTCTACAGCCTGATCTGGTTCTAACTCCGAAAATGCTGCTTCGATTGGGTGTCTAATGTATTCTCTTGCCTCTTCTTCCTCTACCTTTGTCCCTTCTTGTCTGGTTAGTGTCTGCTGGAAACCCTCAGTCTTTTTGCACTGTGCACTGATCTGTTTCCAGAACCTTTCTGCCGCATTCCAATCCTTCTGGTTTATCTTTATCATCCACTGGAGCCTTGCCCTCCCAATTTCGACTTGTATTAATGCTGATGCCTCCCGCTTTCTTTCCTGAAAGTCCTCCCATGTTGATGCTACTTCAGCTGGTGTGGCCCCCTTTTTCTTTGACTATCTGTGCTCTTTAGATGCCGCCTGCAGCGTCTCGATATTGCTGCCTGAACCTCTTTATCCAACCAGCTTTTGAGCTTGCGTTTTAGTTTTCTTCCTCCTTGTTTGATTCGATATTTCTCTAACTCTCTTTTGAAAACACTAAGTCTTCATAGGTCTGTTCCCTTTCCGGTTGCTTAGATACTCTATTCTGGATACGCTCAGATACCTCCTGTAATTGTTTATCATCTAAGTTATCTCTACCCTCTTGTCTTTGATTTTGCATTTCTGGCTTCACTGTGCCATATCTGATGTTGATTCTCTTATGGTCGCTCCCCAGATTTTTTGTTCCTGCCTCATCTCTTTCTATGCATCCTATTCTGTTGTATAGCTTCCGTGATATTAGACGGTATAGTCGAGTGCGAGTTCTCTCTTTCGCACGTTATTTTTCTATCCCATTTGACCAGAGCATTAGCCAATACCAAATAAAAAGCTTCGCAGAACTACTCTAACATCCTCTCTGTTGTATCCCTATGTCCATCAAAGTCTTCCAAATGCGCATTCAGGTCCCCCAAGATAATTATTTGCATGTTAGAGCCAATTTCCCTAAAGTCTCCTGATATACTGCATGTTATGTGTTCTGTGTTTTCCTCCCCTGCTTCATTTCCTGTTTTTAGATACACCTTGGTATGCCGTCTCCCTTGCTCTTATATAATAATCACATCCTGCTCAATTTCCAATCACTGGGTACCTCCCCTCCCATAAGTATCCAGGCAATCACCAGCCTTAGTTTCAATTTACTTGTTCATGGTGTGACTAACTTGGGCAGTGCTGCCTGGTCGCCGGATGAAAATCATAAACAATCGTAAACTGATCATTGCAATTACCAGAGCTCTAAAATCGCGTAACTTGCTGTATATACTAAGTAGCCTATAAGCATTCCGCTTCAAGAATGATATATACGTTTAATTTTCCTGTCATAACCCCTTTAAGCTGAGTCTAGAAGCTCAGCCCTCAGCGCGAGCTCGCTGGCTTCCGCAGTGCTTTGGTTACGCGTGCCTGAGCGTTCACACTTGCGTTTGAGGGGGCAGAACGCTCGCTCTATAGCGAGCTTTAGTCTCAGCTTAAGGGTTAACGGAGTGCAGTTATATCTCAAGAAAGCAAAATCAAAACATCAAATCAGCATACCAATGACAAGCAAACTGCACCGCTCTTTACGGTGATAGCAACTTCAAATGCACTTTAGATGTCACGTGACCTGACATCACGGGACCTACAGAAAAATTTAGATTCCCCACTAATTTTAGCGAAACATTTACGTCATGCGACCTATGCATCATGTCAATTTCCCCCTAAATGTGACAAATAAATTGACGTCACGACCAATGCACCAATTCAGTTTCCTTGCTAAATTTGGCGGGAAAATTGATGTCACGTTACCTGACGTGTAACCCATGCAAACTTCAGGTTGCCCGCTTAATTTAACCAAAAGAATACATCACGGAACCTGTGAACCCGAAGGAAAAATCCATCAATGTAACCCTGTTTGGCAGTCAATGTTTTCTAGTGGACCGCTGACTGTGCCTGACTGCACGTCAAGCATGTCTGATTGGCCAACAAGTTACTCTGACCGACAGTCAAACTCCAGTCAGACTCTACTTGTCGGCTTTCTGATGGTTTTCTGGTGGCAGTCGGCCGCCGCGAAATGCCATCAAGATGTCTTGGTGGCGATTCTGATTGTACATCGATTGGCTCTGACTGTACGTCAAAAAGCTTTGACGCGCAGACAGACGTACGGTCAAAGGACGTAAAGTTCGTTCGGATTCCACTATTTCGTCAAATCTATGAATACGAAAAAATAATCTATGCACAAGAAAACGATTTCGGGACGTGAGCCCATAAAACCGCCGATGTTAGAGATATGACACGCAGCCGACCGACAACCTTGATCAGAAGCCCGCCTAAACGCCGAACACGCCACTTCGCTTCGCCCATAGAGGCTTCGCCGAGCTTTCATGAACGATCGCTCTCGACTCGTATTGTCTGCCCGCTTGCTCCAACCTGTCGATTCTGCCCGGGCTCTACAATGTCTTATGTTTTAGTAGAATTTCTATTCGACAAGACCCAGCCTGTTGTGAGTTCCAACGATGTAAGGGACTTTAGCGGTGTAGTTGAAGACGACAAGGTGTACCAGGTCTACTGGGCCGGAGACGCGCGAACAAAAGGATCGTTCTACGGCGCGAAAGTACTCTACATGGCAGGTGATCAGTAGAACTGAAGTACGGCGAGTGATGTACGAGTGCTTTGCATAACATGCTGAAGACTTAACTAACTGCATTTGCAGCCGAAGCATCTCGTATAAAACGCATGGCATAGCACAGAGGTTAAGGTGTCCGATTTGTACGCAAGTGGTCGCGGGTTCGATCCGCGGCGGTCGTGCTTTTTTTTTTCCCTTATTTTTTTCTCAAACATTTTTTTTATCGAGGCGTTTGGCGATATTTATGAGTGCGTAGAGCTTTACTCTTATATAAATGCTGCCCTTGTTGATGAAATTCCTTTGGCAGTGGCAGTCAGACGTCATCTGATGGACTATCAGATAACGTCTGATGGTCCATCACGTTCCACCAAGGCTGCTGACTGGCAGTCAGTGTCCCAAATTACGTATCTTGATGGAATTTTCAATAGGAAACCAATTCTGTTTCTCCGCTAAATTTAGCGGAAAATTAACGTCACGTGACCAATGCACCAATTTATTTTCCCCGCAAAGCTTGTGGGAAAATTAAATTCATTAAATAAATTGTCTACTTACATTTTGTTTCGTCGTATTCACAGAGATGCGTCGTGAGTCTCATGACGAATGCTATCGCTCTTCATAGAAAACCAACAAGAATGGCTTCTGTGGATATTTTATTTTAAAACTCTTGCGAAGCTCTCAATCAAAATTTATCAAGGCATCATTTTGGGTGCCCAATTTATAGCCGAACCCAGGGGGGGGGGGAATCGGTTTAGTATGTATATATTAGTTAATACCGCTCCTTCAATGAGTAACAAGGCAAGCAAAGGTCAAATTTCAGGTTCTGCTCTTGAGTTTCTTGTTTCCCCATATTCTGATCACTGCAGATGAAAGAATCGGTATTTAACTTTTTTTTTTTTTTTTTTTTATAGAACAAGGTTTAATATAACAACTTCAGTTGTTTCGTTTCAGCGTTCGTGGGGTGTGCTAAGTAGCGTTCGGGGTATAATAAAGGAGTTCAGGGTCTTTCTTGTGTAAAGCTTGACAAGGGCAGGCCAAAGTAGCAGGCTTTTTCGCGGGTTCCGGAATACAGGTAGGGCCCCAGCACACGGCGTAAACACGCCAGTTCAGGAATCATTCGATTAGCTGATTAGCCGTACTCAAGATACGTGTTTATAAACAGCGAGTCATATGGCTGCTTCTGTACTCTCAACAAGTCTCACCCCCCCCCCCCCCCCCCCCTGCCCGACCATCGTCCAGATTTGCAGATTGCACGAAAGATTGCGTGTAAGTACATCTACGATAAAAGCTTTGATCAATAGAACTAGCTCCACTTCTTATCGGAAACGCAGAGATGAAACGCACTCAACACAAATGAGTTCGGTGTTTAGTAGCGGAAAAGGATAATAAAGTCCGTGAAACGTTGCGCTGAAGATCGGCAGCTCCGCTTTGTGCTAGCTTCGAGTAAAAGAAAAAACAATCAAATACTAACGGAGTTGCGCCTTTCATCACATTAACTGCCTAACACCCATAAAAAAGAAGCCTTTGCTCCTACGCTAAATCTCTTCAAAAATATCTGCAATGGTCTTTCCGTTATGGATAACAGTGACATCGCTAATTTTAATAGTAGCAACCGGAATATTTTTAAGCTTGCTTCACCGGCGCCGTCAACACGGATTCTTCAGAAAGTATGGCATTCCTGGTCCAGAGCCCGACCTGTTATCAGGTAACTACATGCAGTTGAAAAAAGATCGTATTGAGGTGAGTGATACGGATTTTTATTCTCGCGGTGTAGTATAACTATACTTCGTTTCAGCTTCGGTCCGAGTGCGGCCGATGTCATGAGCCGAAGGGCCACTCAAGCAGCAAAAGAAGCACAACGTCATGGCGTGTTCTCTGCAGTTGATAGGAACAGCCGGTATTCGCCGTCTCTCTGTGCGTGCTCCTCCGCCGGCTAATCCAATCAAGCGCTGAGAGGACGCCATAGCGCTGCGCTTTTTGGGCTGTTCGATTGGTCCTTCGGCTCATAACATCGGCCGCGCTCGGACTGAAGCTGAAACAAAGTACAGATTGTTCCGCATAATGCACACATTTAAAGCGTTTATCAGGAAATTGTTGGAATGTAGTTTTTTTGTTCTTATCACGTTTCATACATACACACTGACGTTCACCATGGTTGACAATTGACGGTATTTCAAAGGATATTTTTGTTTATTAATCTCTGTTTCGATGAAAGAATAGTATGAATGGTTAGGCTTATCTCGTATCTCTTATGCTGAAATATGTCTGAGATCATATAAATTGTAAATTTAAGTATTCTCCCCGGGCACCAAGTCATGTTTCTTTTCTACAAATTCTATATAAAGATTTTGTTTCGTGCTCCGTCAGAAATAATTAACTTGTTTAAAACTGTCGTTTGCTGGAAACTAGAATAAATTTCGTCCCTCTGAACGAAGTTACTCTTACTTAATCGATGCTCTCGAATCAGTAAAAAACTGGTCAGCTCGTTTCATCCTCTGTAATTACCATCGCGTCGCGAGCGTAACGCTTATGAAAGCCAATCAATTCCTGTCTACCTTCTTTTTCTCCAGTAAAACTGTTCGCTTCTGTCTTTGTCGCAAGATACTCTGATTAGTCAAGACATTATGACCACCTCTACACTGCGTGAATGAGCGCGCCTAGCTGACGTGCCATCCGCGTTGTCTACGACCTGCCGATGGGGATAGTAGTTCGCGGCTGTCGGGGATACATAAGGATCATCTTTTCTACTATCTCTGCATGTATTAGGAAAATCTGCTGATTTATGCGACTTTTATGAAGGGAAGATCGTGGTGGCCCGACGGCTTGGAACGAGTATCTCGGAAACTGTAAAGCTTCAAATTTATTTTAATTAGTTTCCCACTTCAAATTTAACTTTAGAAAAGAGGGGGTGGGAGGGGGTGGCGAGAAAAAAGTCTTGACAAGCCCTGGCCCCCCTTCACAAGGCAGTGGCAGCGGCAAAGGAAAAATCAAGGTTTTTATGGCTCAAATACCCCCAAATATATATACCAAGTTTGCCATGAATCAAGAACACAAAAAACGCACACGGGTGTTCGCGGGCTGCCGTTTTATGTGGAGAGAAAGTTCGTCTGCTTCTTTTGCAGGGGTTGTAGTGACGTCAGAGCGCCGGGCTCTGATTGGCTCTGTTTGAAGGATAGTGGGTAGACCTCAAAGCAAGCTGCCTTCAGGTCTACTCACTATCCCTCATTCAGAGTCAACCAGAGCTCGGTGTTTTGTTGCCACTGCAACTCCTGCGAAAGAAGAAGACGAGCTTGCGTTCCGCATACCTATAAAAAGTGTCAGAACGACGGTGAAACTGATTCTAGACGCCGAGGCGTTGCACGTCCGCTCCTCATCGCAAAATGTAGACGCCGAAGGATTACCCCGCTTGGTGAAGCAAAATGGCCGGCTACCTGCGGCTCAAATGACACCTAGAAACGATGCAGGTTAAGCTGCATCTGTTTCTGAGAATGCAGTTGATCGGACTTTATTTGATATGAGACACTGCAGCAGGCGATCCTTGCAACTGTCTTGCATGCCAGAGCTGAATCAACAGAGTATTTGGGTGGAGGGTCAGAATGGTTTGGCTGACCATGTATATCATACTAACCCGTGCCTAAACTAAAGACGTCATTGCTTTTCATTTCACACCGAATTGACCATCAGTTCAAAATGGGTGTCCATAAATGTAAAACTAAAGCATTTTACCATTCATTCGCCCGTAAAACTTCTTTGCAGTGAAACCTACAGGTTACTAGTGTATCCATTGTTGATTAGAAATTGTCTAAAAACGCTGTTAGCACTCTTTATTGTTTTCAATCCAGTGAAGGGTTGAACGGCTTTTCTGACATTTACAAAAGGCAGTAATTGTTTGCTTAGTTTATGAAAACTGAACTCAGTGTTGTGAGCCTCAATGAACGAAGCATCGAATTACTGGTAATTTTTGTTATCTCTTTTTTTTGCCTGCAGTGATCTCTATAATACTGATGGCCGTGTGAGTATTTAAATAAAGAAATAACTAAACGTGGATGCTGAATTGATTCCGCAACAAAAATGCCCAGAATATTTAAATCTCCCAAATCTAACCCAAAACACAACACGTTTCAAACAAAAATCGCCTATTTTTGCGACGTTTGTGAAGTATAGGTTCTCAATTTTTTTTTTCAAATTAAATTGCAAAAAATTGTGTAGATGTTTTTCTTTCTTCTTTTTTGTGAATACTGGTGCGCAAAGGTACGTAAGCTCTAGAGCTCTCCCATTTAAGTCTAGTAGCAGAAATGAGCCAGCCCTTGAAATTATCATTTTTGGACCCCCCCAAAAAAAAAACTGTGCACTGACGTGTTTTATATACCGAAATGTCCGGATCTCTTTATAGTGCTCGTTTTTTCCAACTAAAGATGTGTGTTCTGTAAACCAGGAAGAAAGGCTCCAAATGCTCCTACTTACGCCAAGTGACGTTGCCGCTACAAATGCACTGTGGTCATCAAACATTTTTTTTTATAATATTTTCGTTTATGTCCGGTCAACATTGTGACACGTGTACGCAAAAGGGATCTAATATTCTCCCTCCTCTTCCACCGGTAGGTGATGGAGGGTTGGATCAAGAGGTACGGCAAGGTATTTGGTTTCTACTTGGGAGAAAGACCTTACATGGTGGTCACGGACTTGGACGTCATCAAAGAGTGTTTCATAAAAGAAACCAACAACTTCTACAACCGACCCAACATATTTCTCGATTTTGAACCTTTCCGAAGCTCCCTTATAGGACTTTCGGGTAAGTAATTTTCTATTTCGCGTCACAGAAAGCATAACATTCCTTGATGTAAATATATACTTCAAGTAAATTCTAATACAAACTGTTCTTTCTTATTCCACCCCCCCCCCCCCTCGAAACAGGAATTGATTTAGGCGTTATATCTTAGAATCAAAAATCAAAAATCTTTAAAACTTTGATTTAGATCAGCTAGTTTACACTTTTTGTACGGGTTACCCTTTATTGATTGACAAATAAAACAACACTAAAATCGATAGAAATTGCCCAGAACACAGCACTTCCAGCAATGCTATTTGTTAATAGGCGCGTAAGGGCTCAATTTGCAAACCGCTTCCTCAACATTTTAGCGGTTCATCAATGCCTCGATTACCGTATCGCATTATTAGCATTTAAGTTCACCACCAATCAGATAACATGCTATTCAATTAGTTTTACTCATGAAGATGTACGTCATGTATCCTCTGCGTTCACATTCCCAAGCGTCACTGTCTGTACCATACATACGAACTAATCATGGCGCGTTCACCTTCATTTACATTGCTATACTAAAACGTGGAACTCCCTACCACCACAGCCTAACTGCCATGTCATCATTCTATATCTTTAAAAAGCCATACGCGCACACATACTATCTGCATGATTCATCAACAATTTCTACGTCCCCCCCCCCCCCCCCCCCCCCCCAAACCGATTCATTCTTTTCTCCTGCGCACAGCTTTCCCACGGTCACACACACACAGATATTGTCTTTCTTTTTTCCTTGACTTTCTAGATTTACTTCTCTCTCTTTTCAGTTGGTTTTATATTTTGATTATGTGCATACCGCAATCATGTTTCGTTGTTGTTGCTTTTTTTTTTCTCCAATTTGTTTTAATATATAATGGTTCCAATTTGATCGCTGACTAACCCTTTGTTACCAAGGGGTCCCTTCAACAGTTTTTTTTTTTTTTTTAACCTTTGGGACTCCCGTCTGAATAAGTGTAATTATCTAAAATCTTGTTTACAAATAAAAACACATTTTGACTTAACTTGGCTTGAAACATATAAACAAGCACTAGCATGTACCACTCCTTTATCCGGACCATTCATCCGTATCTCAACGCTTTTCAGCCTACTTATTTAAAAAAAAATTGAAAATAACTAGTTTTAAGGTTTATTTTTTTAACAAAGCAGTGTGTGTTCCAGAAATATTTATATCATCGTTTCTAGATGATCAATCCGATTACGCTTTCTTAAGGCAATGACTGCCTCTGCACATCATTTTAGAAGACATTTTCGCTCTGACCACTGACAGCTTCTCAAAACCGTAGTCCCCTCGATTCCGCTTACAGTCTAAAAAATTGGAACCGTCTACTTTCCGGCAAAGCACTTTAAAGAACCTCACGGAATGTTTCCGTCAGGCTCTTAGTGAGCAGCCTTAGGAAGTAGCCGAGATCATAGCCGCTATGGAACGTCAGCCAGCGCACGTCCTTTGTGAGCTTGACTCCTGAAGCGATGAGCAGCTGGGCGAATTCATGGGTCTCGATGAGAATTTGGACCGAATGGTTCCGTCCAAATTCTTCTTCTGATGTGGTCTTTATAATATTTACTTAACTTCTCGTCAGTCACCTGGTTAGTATCCTCATAACGAGCCCCTGAGCGCAACAAAAATTGTTGAAATTGACAATGGCAGGATCCGCACTTCCGAACGAAAAGTATGCTAAATACGACGACCTTAATTATCGATTTACAATGCATCACTCTGGTGCACAACAATTGCTAATGGATAATAAACTGATCTCTTGGTAGGCCGCTTCAGAGTTCATTCGTCAATTACACCAGCCTTAAAATCAACTATAACATTTGCACCATTAGTCCTGGAGTGTGTGTGAGAGAGAGAGAGAGAGTGCGTGTGCGTGCGTGTGCGTGTGCGGGCGTTGTGTGTGTGCGTGCGCGTACGTGTGTGGTTGTATGCTTGTGTGTGGTGGTGGGGGGTGGGGGTATTGTCTGGCAGCGTGCCGGGCCCGGGAGCCGCATCCGCGGGCCGTCGGTTGCCGACCTCTGGTTTATACATTGATGGCACAAACAGAGAAATATGACAAATGCCTTGACGCTGCACTTTTGCCGTTGTTTCATTTATTCCACTAGCTTTAGATAACACTAAATATTGCTCCTCTCTAAACTCATATAAGATTTCATTCCCTGTTATGCTCCCACAGGCTTCGAGTGGAAGAAAGTCCGCTCAGCGCTGAACCCCAGCTTCAGCGCTTCAAAGATGAAAATGATGACTCACACAATGAGCCAGTGCGTAGAAGAAATGATCGAGGTATTGCGGGAACACGCGGACAGGGGTGAAGCGGCGAACATGCTCGACGTTTCCCAAGGCCTCACGCTTGATGTCATTGCCAAATGCGCACTGGCGTGGCAGGTATGCACTGTGAAAAGAATTAAGTTTAGTTCGTTTATTATATTGATGTACCAAACAGTTCATATGTTTCCTTATTTTATCTACTTTGCTGGAAGTGCACCAAAATCTCGAATTGTTATATCATACGGCCATGCTTCAGTGAATGTACCACAAAAGCGCCTTATCGGTTTACATGAAAATTCCGGACTGTACGGATACTGCTTGTTCGTGTTGGCGTTGGTCACACTATGGCCGTGTTCCAAAATGTATTCGATCTAACTCCAGTGTAAGAGTCTTGTACCCTGGTGTTCCAAAACCTTCCCGCGTCCAGCGCTTTTCAATCTGTGTTGTCACGTGACACGACCCGCCGGAGTAACCGGTTTCCTTTGGGTAAGATTTAGAACACAGCCTTTATCGTTAGCAACGGAGCGTATTCATTGACCTGATGTCATAGCGCGCGTGACCAATGGCGTTGGGTCACGCGGAATAGGAGTGCGTGAGAAGGGAAAGACGGTTAAAGCGTCGCTAACATTTTTTTTCAACTTGACTCGATTTTAGTATTGAGTCATATTAAGTGTCCCAGAACGAAATAAAAACTTCTGTTTCTTTTTTCTGGACCGGCAGGTAGAGTGCCAAAGAAACGTCACCGATCCCATGTTGCGGGCAGTCAGAAAAGTATTCTTGGATCTGGACAGCGCACTTGTCGACGGCCTGGTTTGTTTTCCTCCACTCCGCCAGGCAATCGAGTGGGTATATCCCTACTCCAGCTACCACGATGTGACGAAGCAGATAACCGACAACTTAAGCAAGGTCATTGACCTTCGCCGAAAGAAGCAAGGATCCAGGCCGACCGACATGTTGCAGTTGATGTTAAACGATCAGGAGGACCACGAAAACGCCGCCTCAGCTGACCTCGGGGAAAACACTTTCTCTATCAGGGACAGACATCTCATGGCCAACAGCTTCATTTTTCTCGTCGCCGGCTTCGAAACGACCGCTACGGCTTTGGCCTTCGTCATGCATACTCTGGCCAAGTACCCAGATGAACAAGACCGCGTCTTTCGTGAGCTTACCGAAGTGTTCCCGGAGAAGAACCAGACCCTGACGTACGACGGCGTTCAGCAGCTGAAGCGTCTAGACATGGTGATACGCGAGGTCCTGCGCCTCTACCCGCCTGTGGTGCTCTTTGTCAGTCGGGTCTGTAGGGAAGACACCTCCGTCATGGGCCAGTTCTTCCCTGCTGGCGCGAATGTGCTGGTTCCGACCTGGCACATCCACCATAATCCTGACGTTTGGCAGGATCCTAACACGTTTAATCCAGAACGGTTCAGCGAAGGAAAGAGCGCGCATCACCCGGCAGCCTACTTGCCGTTTGGAATGGGACCTAGAATGTGCATCGGAGAGAGGTTCGCGCTGCTGGAGCTGAAACTTGTCACATGTCACGTCCTGCGAAGGTACAGGGTCACCACATCTAACAGGACTCATGATCTGATGGAGATAACTGTGTCGTCTGTGGTGATCAGACCAAAAGAATGTATTGAAGTCACCCTAGAGCTCAGATAAAATTCCAAACAAATGCGTGCAAAAACAGCGAAACTTAATGCTATACCTCTTGCAGATTTGGTTTTATTGAGGTCCGACTGCACTTGGGTCTCTCAATTAAAATGCATCAAGCATTAAAAAAAATTCGCGAATCAAGCGTCCTATTAGCGCCGAGATGTTTTGGTGGCGCCCTCTCATGCTTTCCTTTCGTGAGGACACGAACTGGATTTGCTTCGCCCTGACTGGCAGGATTGGCCTCGCCGTGAACCAGCGATTGGGCACCCTATTTAAAAAGATTTTCTTTCGGAATTTTATTTCGAGTAAAAAAAGTGAGCTGAATTATGGGACTCTTTTCACATCCGGTAGAGCCGGAATTTACCGGAAGTCACCGCGTTCGTTACCGGAATTTTATTTCCAATAAAAAATCTATTTTACTTAATTATGGGACTCTTTTCACTTCCAGTAAAGCCAAAGATTACCGGAAGTCACCGGAATTGCCTGGATTCACCAGAAATTACCGGAAATCACCGGATTTGTCTCAATTCACCAGAACTTACCGTGCTTTTTTTTTTTCGGATGTCAACGGAAGGTATTTAGGACGAAGCCTGTAAACCGTGGGCGGTGTATTTCTACCAGATGCTGGACGATTCGGTAGCAATTAAAACCGTTCGTTCATATAGCCCTGAAAATTCTATGTATTTATCTCACAGGGTCGATACCAGTGAAACAATTTGCCCAGCTGTAGACAAAAGCAATCACACCATGTAGGAAGAACCAAGTTATTTGTCGCAAAAATATCTTTCAAGGTGCTCACAATGCCGCTGGGTAAATTCCTAGATGTACGGTAGTTCAACTAATAAACCGAGCAGGTGCACCACACGGACACACACACTATTAGTAGCACATTTAGCGAAAACCACGAAAGCGCTACCAACATCCGTCGCCAGATGTTGGTTGCGCTTTCGGCCACGAATGACGTCACGAGGGTCACCAGTGACGTCACGAGGGCAACGAATGACGTCACGAGGGCTATGTGTGACTCACGAGGGTGACGAGTGACGCCACGAGGGCCACCAGTGACGTCACGAGGGACACGAATGACGTGACGAGGCTCACAAGTGACGTCACGAAGGTCACGTATGAGGTTCTGACGTCACAAGTTACGTCACGAGGGTCACGTGTGACATCACGAGTGTCACAAGGACCACCAGTGACGTCACGAGGGCCACGAATGACGTCACAAGACTCACCAGTGACGTCACGAGGGTCGCGTGTGGCGTGGCAACGTCACAAGTGACGTCACGAGGGGCACATAGGCCACCAGTGACGTCATGGGGGCCAGCAATGACTTAACGAGGGTCACTTGTGACGTCACGAGCGTCACAAGTGACGTCCCGAAAATCACCAGTGACGTCATGAGGGTCACGTGTGACGTCACGAGAATCACCAGCGACGTCACGAGAGCCACCAGTGACGTCACACGGGCATACCCTCTTCTCCCCTCTTACTCTTCAAAAGCTGCGCTCTGATTCGGCTTTACAGAAAATTGTGAACGTCTTTCGTTTTTTTACTTTATATCTTTAATATTTTACCACCTCTGATATGAGCTCTGAAAAAAAAATCCACATGCAACTTCTTGCGAAACTACGTTCGCGTGCCCAATTTCCGGTATGTACGTTTGGAATTCGAATTTTGCAAGGCGTTCCAAACGTGTTAGTCCTTGCAGCCGCACTCTAGATTTACGCCAATGGCGTTCCCAAGTGCTAGGCGTGAAAACAGACGCAGCAGATTTCTTGAGCCTGCTTGACAACGGGCAAGCAGTCTGACCTTTACCTTGCGCAATACTGCCACGGCCGCTCGATCCCCCCTGTTGGTGCGGCCTGCCGATTTTTCCCGAACACAAAAGAGCGCGCGTGAGAAGAGAACTTTTCCCATCTGCCGTCGGGGCGCTGCACATCGGTGAGTGGTCTTGTGAGCTGAAAGCTAGAGAAGGCGCCAAACGCGCCCTTGCTCTGCGACCCAGAAAAAATACCTGCCCGCCAATGGCTTCGCCGATACCGAGGCGCTGCCACGGTTGCAGAAGGCCGCAGAACTCTCTTGCCGCCCCCCCCCCCCCCCCCCCCTCCCACCTCTGCACCGCTTTGCGCGGAGAGAATATCGTAGTGTCTTGTCTATCGTAGTGTTTTGCGTCTTTTTTTTTTTTCCTTCCTTTTTTTCTTTTTTTTTGGGGGGGGGGGGGGAGGGATGGACTGTTGTTGGGGTGTACACCCTGTGCTCGCGTGTGTGGTTTATGTTTTCGATCGTTTTTTCGAGCGTTTTTATAGTTTTGTGGCACTAGCCACTGATGGATGAGAAAGAAGATACGTATACAGACGCCTTTTGTCTGTGTCTCCACAGTTTTAAAGAGTGCGAATGGGTTACGGAGCACGCGATGCCTAAAAACTGTTGTGTGCCGCGTTGTAAGTCAAATGGTGCGAGAAATCTGGAACTATGCTATGACGAGCTGCCGTCTGCAAAGTAGAGACAATGAAGCCCCTTCCAAACTTGAGTTCCCACCGTATACATGGCTGGCTACTCGGCCTTCGTTTGCGAACAAAAGGTGACCATTAAGCTGGAACATTCAGCCTGGCAAATCAATAGAAATGTCTGAGTGAAAGCAAGGAAGGCTAATGTGTAGAACCCGCTCAACGTTGCAGGTGACGTGTCCTGAATGCAAGCTTCCACTTAAGGCAAATGCATTACGTGACGGTAGTCTAATATAGTAACGCGTTACTAGTAATGCGTTACTGTAACTTCGTTACTTTTTGCTAACTTGTAACTCTAACGAGTTACTTTTTAAAGATGTAACTTGTAACTGAGTTCTATTAGTTTTTCCGAGGTAACGATGAAAGTAACGGCATTACTTTTGCCGTTACTTTCCATTTTTGTATGTGTAATATATCCTTGAACCAGTACCATATAGCTATTCCTCGCACTTTCCAAATTATCTGTTCCGGGACTTTAAATGTCAAGTTGGCCTCGCACAAACGTGTGAGTGCATTCTTTCTCGCGAGTCACAACCCGAATATAGCCACAAGTAGATGTGTTGAAAAAAATATAGTTATCTTTACGCACGCGCTTGTACTTTGTGACCGAATACTTATATCTTAGTATCTTAAAGCACTGTCTATGTTGTGGTTGTTCATTGTTTTGCCCCAACGCTTCTTAACCGGATGAATCAACCTTGAAACAACAAAACACACGGAGGGTACTGCGAATATTTCGTATTTTGATTAGCGCCACTATTCCGCACTGTGGATGTTTCGTATTTTGATTTCCGCCACTACTTCGGTGTAATGTCAACAGTCGAGGCAAACTTTACTGCTGTTTCCGCGGGGTTTGCTTGTTGCTTTGGTTGCGTGGGGTCTGTTCAGCAAGAGCAAGGACGTGTTCGCCATCAAACGAGGGAAACTTTCAGACACTGATTTCGAGAAACAACTGCTGCTAAGTTACAGTATGAAGTAAAAAGCATAATTTTTGATTTTATGCAATAAAACTTGGTGGGGGGCCTTTTCTAGTTTCTCCTAAATTTTTCGTGTTACTAGAAAAGTAACTGATAAGTAACGTCGTTACTTAAAAGTAAAGAGTTTACTTTTTTTAGCGGTTACTGTAACGGTAACTTTGCAACTTTTTTCTGAAAGTAACTGTAACTGTAACGAATTACTTTTTAAAAGTAATTTACCCAAGGCTGACGTGACGGAGCATATCAGTTCGTGTTTAGCCTTGACCAAGGATGACTCAGCTATCCACGACCTGAATCTGTCTGGCTGTGCAAGCTCGTCTGCTCCATTGTCGAGAGGGCTCTACAGTCGGCAGAAATTCGTCGTCGACGGATTTGCAAGGTCTTCTCGAGTACAGTGCTTCCACACTTTATGGACTGCCTGCTGATGTGGTGTACTAACTGCAGAGACCAGTACGACAGCGAAGAGCTCTGCAAGTTTTTTTCTCAGGAAGATCCTCAGACCTCTTTTGGCAAACTGGGCTGGTGACCTAAACAGCTCTCTAGGGAATATCTTGAGGCTTTCGCGGAACACCCTTTCCCGAAAGGTACTCAGCTTGTGAACTACATGACTCCCTTGATCTGTTTGGGAACAATTAAGTTTATATTACTAAAGTTATACTCGAGGAATCCGTTTCTTTTTCTGCCTCACAGATCCATAAAAGGCACAGCTCGAGCGTGCTCGAGCGTCGGTTAAAACCGGTAATTATACGGCCTAACTATATGCACCTATAACTCCTATATTACAGCGGTAATAGAAACGGGGCAAAACTTACGGGAACAAGAAAACGACAATTCACTCATACTTCCAGCTGAATGCGTCTCTAACGCGCAGCCTGCAGCTGAGTGAGCTCCTCACAGAAAGAATCGTGTGGTTTTATTTTACACAAATTTGTCACAGCATTCATGAAATCTGGCACTCGTTTCAATTGTGACTTGCCGTTTCACGAAAAACAATCTGAATCGCCACACCTGGCCGGGCCGGGACGGGCGTACTGCTCCTCTCTCGACGATAACGAGCTTTACTGCGGGGTAAAGTAGAACTATCACTTTCACCGGCGGCGTGGGTCATACGGCAGGCCGCTCCCAATGGGAGTCCTAAGGGAGGGGCCGTGATACTGCAATCGCTGATAGCTTAAGAAAGGCGGAGCTTGGCTTATAAAGCAGGCGTAACACTGCTCATACACCATACAAAAACAGTTTGCAAACACGAGTCAATGCAATATCCGTGGTTCGAATGCCGCGTGCCAAGCTTTCTCCTTGAACTCATTGTCATTTGGTATTCGAGACACGGATATTGAGGTGACTCGCGTTCAAATCTGCATGCAGACTGTCATTTGTATGATGTATAAGCAGTGTGACCCCGGCTTTATGATTACGTTACTTGCGGCATGATTTGTTATTCGGCCTTCTCATCAACTCATACCGTGATGTGATTGGCTCGTGAACCGTAATCAGCTTATCTAGTCTGGCCCTGCCCTGCGTTTTTTAGGCTGTCATTTGCACTACGGACAGAAGCCCTAGCGAATCTCAACATGCCTTTCTCCTCCTGACAGCTTACCAGCTGTTTTCAAGTCTCAAGTAATATTTTTCTTTTCATTTCTC